ACGAATGTCTCCAAAATGCCAAGCACCGACCCAATGCTGTCAGGGAAGGCGTTGACCACGAACACGTAGCTGGCGGTGGAGTAGGCACTCGCTCCGAGCGCCTCCAGCCCTCGGACAAGGAAACACAGCCAGGTGAAGGTTGTGGAGTTTTCTATTAGTGATAGAGTACTGAAAGAGAGAAAGATTTGGCATTTAAACAGTTAGAACACAAACGCACAATCTGTACTTAAGTATTTTTAAAAATGCCACGAGAAAATTTAACGTTATTTTTATGAAATGTACTTAGGTAACTTTGGAAATTCTTGAAAACAGCAGAAAAAGACATGAAATAACAGACAGACTTTGAGGAACCTTTATGGGTTTCTTGTCAGGACTACGGAACCCTAAAACAGGTATGAAAGTTGTAAAATTACTAATGTAAAATACTATAGGTATTTTCTGCTTTATCGCCTTATATCGTTTGCTACTTGACTTTACCAATTTTCTTCTAAATAACTTTTAACCGACTTAAAAAGGAGGTTTTTCTTACCCGAACAACACATTACAAGTTCCGGCTATGAACATGCCGGAAATAAACATGAACTTCGCTCCCATTAGTGGTAACTGAAAACATAAAAAGTTTTCTCTAAAATCTAATTCAACACGATTACTTACTTAATACCTACGTAAACCTAAAACAGTCTAAACAGAATCCAAAACATCTAACCAATAATAAAAAAAACGTTCCACGTGTTACAGTTCCCATGCACTCTTTCTTAATCGTGAACGGAAGTAACAAGAAAACACACACTAAAATTGCGATAAGTGTGATAATTTTCTATCGATGTGAAGTATCAATAATTACTTAGTCTAGAAGTTCTACCTGTTCTTGAAATACCTAGATACCTAAATAGTATTTACCTATACTCATAGTAAGTAAATGGTTATGTAAGTACCTTAAAGAGGTTGTTTAGTTCCAAAATAATTTGTATTTAAAAAGTTGAACGTCCAGTAGTACCTATGTAATCTACTTGATTTATTATTACTTCATTATAATAATATGTTTTATGTAGCGTAGGTTAAAAGATAACGTTAATTACTACTTATGTACCCATATTTAGCGCTATTGTATACCTATTTAGCTCATCGAACTTGATTTTAAATATCAATACATTGCAATAGCGTCGGTGGGTTATACCGTTTCTGTAAGTAGGTACCTACTAAGTAAGCGATTAAACAAAAAATGTATGTATAGGTAAGTATTAAGATATTATATTATTATAATGCCTACTACTTTATTAGTTAATATTTAAACTACTTTCCTATATCAGTTAGTTCTGTAATTTCAAATCTCTCTTTCTCATGTACCTAAACCAAATTGGCAATAAAAATACTCACGAATTTCCCAAAAATTGGTGACGTCAGAAACATGACGACTGCGTAAAAACTGAACACGATTCCGCACATGGTGTCTGACAGGCCTTTTGCTGTGGCCTCCCTCGGAAAGAAGGGTGCCATGACGCTCATGGAACAGAAGCTCATGAAGTCCACCAGAGCCAACGAAGCCAGGGTGAGCCTCTGTCGCCGGGAGAGATACCGCAGCGCGCCGGGCCGCGGCCTGCTTTGAGTCCTTACTAATCTGGAAGGCGACAGCGAAGGGTAGCTGTACTAATAAGATGCGAATAAGACATGATTTTCTAATATATTTTTTTTACATTGAAGCGACAATAGTAAAATGGGTGGTGGCCAAACGGCGGTGTCCGATTCGAGGAATGCGTCGGGTTCGAACCCCGCCGTTCGTTGAGGCGACCACATTCGTAAGAAAGCTTACCATGAGGGGTCATCGGGATAATTAGTACTTAGGTAATTTGAATTTATAAAATGCTATCAATATTCTTAAAAAAAAGTTAATTAAGTACTCTTCTATAAAAAACATAATTGTAATGAAGTATCTATAACAAACTTGATTGTTTTGATTGTACAAATAATTACATCATCCACTACTACACGTGAGAATCATACGTATGTAGGTACAGTACAAAGTAGATGATGATGAAAGTGATGAATTTAGGTTACCTACTTGTTTATTGTAGTGTTAGTAAGAATAAGGTAAATAAGAAGTACAAACGTAAATTAAATAAATTTATTTTAAAGGATGGATATCGAATTCGACAGGACCTTTTATGCAAGATTGAGTTGCATGTGAATGCAGTTACATTGACCCAACATTTGGCGTTTACGAGAGTAAGTAAATGTAACGTGTTATCTCATTGAAACCCAATCTATGACATGATTTTGTATAACATCTATAAGTAAACATTGATTTAGGTTCAGTCATAACATTGAAAGATTTTCTAGAAGAAATTATTATGACGATAAGTCACGATTTAATGTGAATTATGGTCTATTAAATGGATTACAATTTGGATAACCGAGACGTTTTATTGATTACTATTATTTTCACTTTCAAATTATACAAATGAAGCAAAGGTTTTTGATGACTTTATCAAACTCGATTAAAAAAGTTAACTTTAAATTATTTATTATTATTTACAGTGTGTTTTACATTAATTATGCCCATATTTTTAATTTTTTATATTTAAAATATGATGTGCACCAGCGGAAATTTTCTCGTTCAAACAATAGTTAGTACCAATAAAGGGAATCGAACGTTAACATTGCCAATGGCATTGTTATCGTGCACTTGATACTGAATTACAACACGTGTCAATATTGCAATAGTTAACGTTCAATTAGGGGAGAGTGGGGCAAGACGGGGTCCTTAAAGTTTGATGGTAAATAAAATTGACCGTAGAGAGTTTTATTAATTTGTTTTATTCTTATAATCTTCTTCGATAATCAGTCTTCATTGTTCACGTGTAATTTGGCAGTCTAATCAACATAATAAAATTTAAAAAAACAAAAAGTAGAAATACACCCTTATCCCCATCATGCCCCACCCCTAGGGTAAGATGGGGTACCCCCGTGGGTAAGATGGGGTACCAATAAGAAGGCAAGATGGGGTATGGCAGCAAACGACTATTTACTTTTCACAATGTTCACAAGTGAACACGGTATCTGCATCTTCGTCATCTAAACCTGCACAGCTGCAGTAAACCCATTTGCCGCATGCTGAACAAGCAACCCAGCCTTCATTTGAGTCCAAATATAGGCCTTTACAATACAAAAAAGGTGTATTTTCAGTATTGTTGTCACTATTCTCGTGTAATGATCTATTCTTAGCCCCTTTTTTCTTCTTTGTTACTCTTTTCTCCTTAGTTGGGGGTTTTTTTTTTGAGATTTTTAAGTTCCCTCAACTCTTTTTTTTCGCTGTATATCCTCTTCCGCTTCTTTCTTTTTCTTAATCGTTTTTTTTAATAATTTCTCACCATTCTAGAATAAAATAAATAGTAAAATTAGACATTTCTATGTCGCTTGCCTTCATACCCCATCTTGCCCCTTAACACCTACCCCATCATGCCCCCGTATGCCAAATAAAATTTAAAAAATAACTGAATAAAACCAGTACGCAGCAATGAGGAAAACAAGTTCTTACCTGTTAGTGTTGTTATTTTCACATTTGGTAACATTTAAATCAATTGCGAGGTGTTATTATTTACGGAAAATACACGCCTAGTGTAATATAGAAAAATCACTAGCTATTTAGCAAAAAACAGTTTTTTCCAGAAAACAAATCAAAGGCGTAGTGTCGTTGTCCGCTCACTTCGATAACTGATTGCCGTAATGGTGGTGCGGCGTCAGGTGCTTAAACGATCTTGATTGGCTAATTCGTTCGCACTCAGGATCGGTCGCCCCGTCTTGCCCCCCACCCCGTCTTACCCCACTCTCCCCTACAATGTTGTAGGAAAGTTCCTGGATTACTTTTATGAAACCACATTCATGTAAATTTCAAAAATCTGTTTTGCTTCTGGCACTGTTTATTTAGCCTATAAATATGGGATGTCGTTTTTAAATATCGTAATTCCAACGACCTACCGTTCTCGTAAAATCCTGATCTCGGAGCTGACATCGTCTGGTGGTATCCCCGACCAGGACTGGGCCCGTCTCAGCCTCCTGGAGTCAGGGATCGAGCCTCTCCCTCCCCACGTCGCAGCCAGCTCATCCACCTGAGTGGACGTCTTCACCATTCTACAGTCAAACACTATCGTCTCAAAGGACCTGCCACCCTCCACACTGTTCGATCGCGACCTACACGAGTCCCCTCGAGTCCTATTCCTCAACAACTTGCTGTACTCATCGCAATCGTCTTTGTCCATATCGGAAGGACTCAACCCGAGCACTGACCGGTAATTAAATGAATATCGTAAACAAACCCCGATACCGCGGCGTGTCACCCGTCTGGCGACCAGTCGAATGTAGGTACAGAATAAAACCGCGCATATCAATCACAATCGGTATCTTATCGCGTTTTAAATTCAAACGGGAAAGAGGGCACTTGTTAATTTGTAGCATTCGTAGGGCGGGTATGGCGAGCGTGATGGTGAATGTTTGTGTTCGAACGATAACACAAATGGGACGTTATCGCGCGAGTATCGGCGGTGTGAAAACATGCTGCCGTGTTATGATCCTGGCGCGCCTTTTCCGTTGCGATGCTCTTTGACTTATTTTTTTCTTTTCTAGAATAATCTGTGTCGTTGAAGTAAGACGGCTCCGTACAGTAAACAACTTAAGCCATTTATTACTGAAAAGTCGGACCTATTACAACTACATAGGATATCAAATTAATATTGTGCAAAACTATAATATGATTTACAAAATTAATTCTACCTTCCTTTAAGCAATAAATTAAAGACATATTATTTTGTTACTTTTATTTATTCAACGCATATTATATACTTTCTCGTAGACATTTTAACAATCACTGTAAAAAAGTATAATTGGAAATGATTTATTCGGAAAAACTTTGGCAAAAGAAAGTACATATTTAAAATATAACATATTTTAAGTTATTGTAAATGCACAATACCTACAGCTACTACTTTTCTAAATGTTTTTCCGAACAAATAATTTCCATATTTATTTTCCGCACACATGTTAGGCAGTCGCTTAGAAAAGAGTAAAACGAAAACAAATTGAGCTATTTTTATGTTCACACTAGATGCTTAAATAATTATATTATTATTAAAATAACAGTATAGAAAAAGAAATGGAAAATTAAGAAATATAAAATATAGAAATGCACTTTGCATTTTCGTAAGAATCTCAAGAAACTATGTACCTATATGGGAACTGTTTATTTTTGGGTAAATATTGTCACGTTTTATTATATAAATAGTATGTAGATTGAATAAATGAGGATATATTTGATTTTCTTAATAACTATGTTTGGATTTACTTAGTATAATTTCTAAAGATACCAAGGCCCCTTTTAAGCAAGCGTTTTGGAAATCAACAAAGTATTGCTCTGGGTTTAGAAATATAATATTATATACTATTATAAATCAAATACAAATTCTAGTATACGAACAAAAATGTACACTCGCTACACATTTCACATTTAGATTTAAAATTTTCGAATTCATATAAAATGTATAAATATTTAATGATCATGATACCAGCTAGCACAAATACAATATTGTTTAGCCAAGGCCGATTTTAACGAATCTACCGCTTTTTAATTAATCTCTTTGCTAATCATCTCTTAATGAACAGCCACCGTAGCTGATATGATTCAATTTGTACACATATTATTTGTCATATACACATTTTTAAATAGTTTCAGAGACTAACTAGTTGTACAGAAGTCTTATTTCACGCGCTCACAAAAAATGCGACAGGTTTATAAAAAAAGAGAACGCATAGCGACTTTTCTAACTAAACTAAAAAAAAAATGCAATGTCCAAGGGGATATATACCGTCTTACTGTTATATTACAGGTCAGTTTCGTTTGTTTGTTGAGATCATAACCGCAGTTGCGCCAACTCCTGGAGTAAAGCTGGCTCGTTCTTGATTTTCTCGAGCTGATTCAGTTCGAGCGTTTTTCCAGCGGCTTTTTGTTGCTTCAGCTTGTCGATGTCGCTCAGTTTCTGGAGACAAATATTTTCTTTGAATAACGAATTACGAGACGTAGCGTTTCAACTGATATGACTCACAATATTTTTGTCTAAAAATCTAATCATTTTCCGAGTAATAAAATCTTAAAACTATTTTTGACATATCCACCTTCGCGCGTTTTTCGGCCTTTCGCCCTTCTCTTTCCTATTCTACTTAATTTCTATCATCTTCTTCTTACCTTATTAATGTTCTTGTCTTTTTCAGGGTCCCCAGGAGAGACAAACGGTGCGTGGGGCGTGGTCGCTGGCGGCGGAGGGGACACATCTCCCTTCGCGCGTTGTTCGGCCTTTCGCGCTTTGTGGGCTTCGCGCTTATCTTTCCTATTCCTATCCTATCTAACATACTACCATCTACTTCTTACCTTATTAGTGTTCTTGACCTTCTTGTCTTTTTCCGGGTCCCCAGTGGAGACGAAAGGCGCGCGAGGCGTGGTCGCCGGCGGAGGAGGGGACGCATCTCCCTTCGCGCGTTCTTCGGCTTTTCCTCCTCTTTGCTACTCCTATACTACCTCCTTTGCTATCCAAAACTACAACTTACCTTATTAAGGTTCTTGATCTTCTTGTCTTTTTCCGGGTCCCCAGTGGAGACGAAAGGCGCGCGAGGCGTGGTCGCCGGCGGCGTAGGGGACGCATCTCCCTTCGCGCGTTTTTCGACCTTTCCTCCTTTTTGTTACTCTTATACTACCTCATTTACTATCCAAAACTACAACTTACCTTATTAAGGTTCTTGATCTTCTTGTCTTTTTCCGGGTCCCCAGTGGAGACGAAAGGCGCGCGGGGCGTGGTCGCCGGCGGCGGAGGGGACGCATCTCCCTTCGCGCGTTCTTCGGCCATTCCTTCTCTTTGCTACTCTTATGTTACCTCATTTACTATCTAAAACTACAACTTACCTTATTAAGGTTCTTGATCTTCTTGTCTTTTTCCGGGTCCCCAGTGGAGACGAAAGGCGCGCGGGGCGTGGTCGCCGGCGGCGGAGGGGACGCATCTCCCTTCGCGCGTTCTTCGGCTTTTCGCGCTTTACGGGCTTCGCGCTTTTCTTTTTGCTTGATAGCTTGCTTGGACGGAGCAGCTATGGGAAAGATTTGAACACTAGTAAAGTTTGTGTCTTCTAATTTAACTTTCGTTATCTAATTTTACTTTCGTTATCGTTCGAGTCTTAAATTTGCGTTTGCGTAGAAGACGTCTTCCGCCAAAAGAGCCTATTTAAATTTATTTAAGAACTAATCTCATTTTTAAATAAACTAGAAAACTGAGGCAAAATCGCATTTATGACAGTTTAGTATCTTTAAATTTAATCCAACAGTTTTGCAGAATATTGATTACTTAGCTAAAACTGACACCAAAAATTACTTTAGGGCTAGAAATAGGTTTATTCAGTGCTAATTCGGAATAGCAGACATTGTGATGATTTTTTCACTAGCGTAGATTTATGGATAGATATAATTATTTGTATAAAATTCTCGGTCATTCATAATGTTAACATTAAGATAATTATAATAATACTTACCGCTAGCATTTTCACCAGGCTTGTGTGGCTTCTCATGTTCGTGTAACGTGAACGTAGACGGCTTATTCCTAGCGCCGGGCGGTCTGTACGCCGCGGTTGGCTTTGGTGTCGAGTCTTCAATGGCCTATAAACAATTGACAATCAAATCTCGAACCAGCCATCACTGCATGGCTTGTAATATGACACAAGAACTAGGATAAGGCCAGGTTTCCACCATTAGTAGGCCCAAGATGCGCGCCACGATAAGTTCATACTTTTGTCGTCTAAATCGTCGATAAGATTTTATCACGGCGTGCATCCTAGCCCCACTGGAGAGATGTGTTTGAATAACCAATCAGAGGTGGAATTGTGTAAAGCAATCGTAATCATTTGACAGTTTATAACGTACGATAAAGTCGGTTAGACAAAGCGTTTGACAGAATAATCGTACGTTATGAACTGTCAAATGATAACGATTGCTTTACACAATCCCACCTCAGATTTCCGAACTGAACCGAAGCTGAAGCAGTAAAATATCAAAATCTGATTAGTTATTCAAACATAATCTTCTCGCCATCGCCTAAGATTAAAGCGCAATATTTTCTAGAGGTCAATAAGCATTAATATTTTAAAATAGCGTACCTTCGGTGGAGCCCTGGATAGTTCGCTCTTAGGGAAGTTTCCTGGTTGCCAAGTGATACTCAGTAGGTTTTCTTTCTCTTGGCATACACGCTTGTGCATGAGAGCTCCGGTGTAATGCCATATTTTGTACCTAAAATAATCAATAATGTTACACTGGTATTTTAACTTTCTAAAATATTCTGTATATTACCCAAAAAAGGCCCTTACTGCGTTTATTCGCGCATAAATATTATAGCGTACTAACAAAAGTACACATTTAAGTTTTGAGTAAGGAAAAAAAAGCAGGACTAAAATTTATTCGGGCTCTTGAATTCTAAAACATTGTTCTAATAACAAATATACGTTAGTTACCCATTCCCAACAGTGAGCCTGGGATAAGTAGTAGCGGTGAGAAAGGTCTCCCCTCGAGGGTCCCACTGCAGACTGGTGGTGTCGGGCGCTACTCAGGACCCGATCTTCTTGTCATATTCCTTCGACCTAATAATGTGCTATGTACTAATGGTAGGTTGAAACGTTACTTACCCATTCCCAACAGTGAGCCTGGGATAAGTAGTGGCGGTGATAAAGGTCTCCCCTTGGGTGTCCCACTGACTCGTGGTGTCGGGCGCTGCGCAGGACCCGATCTTCTTGTCCTATTCCTTTGTCGTAATAATATGTATTGTGTCAGTGGTGGGAAGATTACTTACCTATTCCCAACGGTAAGCCTGGGATAAGTAGTGGCGGTGAGAAAGGTCTCCCCTCGAGGGTCCCACTGCAGACTCGTGGTGTCGGGCTCTGCGCAGGACCCGATCTTCTTGGCTTTTGTCGTAATAATAATCAGTGGTGAGAAGATTACTTACCCATTTCCAACAGTGAGCCTGGGATAAGTAGTGGCGGTGATAAAGGTCTCTCCTCGAGGGTCCCACTGCAGACTCGTGGTGTCGGGCGCTGCGCAAGACCCGATCTTCTTGTAGCCACGCATGTCCCATACTTCTATGCTGCCTGTGGCTATGTTACCGAACCCGCCTAGTAGAACGCGTGTGAGGGAGTCAAGGAATTTTAGTTTTTTCTTGTTGAAATTTAAATTTAAAATGTATTTAAATCATTAAATAAGGCATTTAATATAGGCGAATGATGCTGTGTCCATGTATTGTACAAGATACACACCGGTCGCTATGTTACCAAAGCCGCCTAGTAGAACGCGTGTGAGGGAGTCAAGGAATTTTAGTTTTTTTCTTGTTGAAACTTAAATTTAAAATGTAATTAAATAATTATATAAGGCATTTAATATAGGCAAATGATGCTGTGTCCATGTATTGTACAAGATACACACCGGTCGCTATGTTACCAAAGCCGCCTAGTAGAACGCGTGTGAGGGAGTCAAGGAATTTTAGTTTTTTTCTTGTTGAAACTTAAATTTAAAATGTAATTAAATAATTATATAAGGCATTTAATATAGGCAAATGATGCTGTGTCCATGTATTGTACAAGATACACACCGGTCGCTATGTTACCAAAGCCGCCTAGTAGAACGCGTGTGAGGGAGTCAAGGAATTTTAGTTTTTTTCTTGTTGAAACTTAAATTTAAAATGTAATTAAATAATTATATAAGGCATTTAATATAGGCAAATGATGCTGTGTCCATGTATTGTACAAGATACACACCGGTCGCTATGTTACCAAAGCCGCCTAGTAGAACGCGTGTGAGGGAGTCAAGGAATTTTAGTTTTTTTCTTGTTGAAACTTAAATTTAAAATGTAATTAAATAATTATATAAGGCATTTAATATAGGCAAATGATGCTGTGTCCATGTATTGTACAAGATACACACCGGTCGCTATGTTACCAAAGCCGCCTAGTAGAACGCGTGTGAGGGAGTCAAGGAATTTTAGTTTTTTTCTTGTTGAAACTTAAATTTAAAATGTAATTAAGAGCGTTTACGTCTAGCGTGGCATGTCAAGTTTAGGTAATTTCGGTGCTATTTTTATTCACACTAAAATAATTATGACTGTGTGCGTGTTCTCACGCTCTATAGTCAAACCAAAATACTTTGATCCACCATCGTAAAAGTGTGCCAGGCTGTCAAGTGACAGCCCAAAGAAACTATAAAATCTTCAAATCTTCCAACACCGACTCCATAATTATAAATAATGGTATACATTAGTCCTAATCAATAATAAATACGTAAATTCTTTATCAAATAGTAAATTATCAAAGGTTTTTTACTATTTTGAGAATATTTTGTACAGCCTATGTTCAGCAGAAAAAAAATTGAATTTTAATGGTGAGAGATTTTTTCAAATCGGTTCTATTCAAAACAAACTTTTCCTGTTAAAAGTCCAGCTACCTGTCAAAGATCAACGTACGCGTGACACATGTCAGCAGAGCACCGAGCGACGTGACCTCACTCTGGAACGCCTCGAGGCGGACTGAATTTGAACGATTCGTGCGCGGCGTTTTATAGTACTTTTCAAATACTCATAGAAAAAAAATTACAATGAATTATTTTAAATTTCAAAGTAAATATTTTAGATAAGATATTCTTCTATTATATTAAGCTATTTTTGTGTTGAATAAAGGAAGAATATTGGTGAAAAAATCACTTTGATTTTTGGGTATTTCACGTTTTTTTAATTTGTGATTTCTTATTGTAAAATGCTTAAATCTAAAAATTTTCTCAGATAACTATTTGCCCAAGGATCTATGCTATAGGATATAAATGTTTGTTAAATCGTTTTCACAGTATTTTTATAAAAAATTCAGCTTGTAAACTGACGCTAAAGTGGAAATTTACAAAACCTGTGTGGACTTATCTTGATAGAATTCTTGAATACTAAACTAATCGCAATATTTTCTCAATTAACTATTTAGACGACGAAATTGCCTACCTATTTATGCCTATAACATATTTGTAGTGTTACTGGTTAATGATTGTAACGAGTTGAAAAAGTACTGTTTTTGCGCCAAACGGCGTAAACGCTCTTAAATAATTATATAAGGCATTTAATATAGGCAAATGATGCTGTGGCAAATGATGCTGTGTCCATGTATTGTACAAGATACACACCGGTCGCTATGTTACCAAAGCCGCCTAGTAGAACGCGTGTGAGGGAGTCAAGGAATTTTAGTTTTTTTCTTGTTGAAATTGAAATTTAAAATGGATTTAAATAATTAAATTAGGCATTTAATATAGGCAAATGATGCTGTGTCCATGTATTGTACAAGATACACACCGGTCGCTATGTTACCAAACCCGCCTAGTAGAACGCGTGTGAGGGAGTCAAGGAATTTTATTTTTTTCTTGTTAAAATTTAAATTTAAAATGGATTTAAATAATTAAATAAGGCATTTAACATAGACGAATGATGCTGTGTCCATGCATTGTATAAGATACACACTGATTTTATGAACATGTATTAGGTAATACTTCTGTTTGGTATAACGATTCAGAGTAAACCCACCGGCAATTTTAAAGCCTATTTGAAATCTTGTGACGTCACTTGACATATAATACTACAGCATGTGCCCCAGTACCACATGAGTAAACTTATTTCTGCCAGTTTGTATGGTTGTGTGTCATATGTGTATCATCACGCTTAGTTAATTCCATACATAAATGTTGCTTATTATGATGTGAAATGAAATATTCAAATGAATGACTATTTATTTATACTATTTAAACTTATATTATAAAGCTGAAGAGTTTGTTTGTTTACATGAACGCGCTAATCTCCGGAACTACTAGTCCGATTTGAAAAATTCTTTCAGTGTTAGATAGCCCATTTATCGAGGAACTATACAACATCACGCTACGATAAATAGGAGCAGAGCAATAATGAAAAATGTTGCGAAAACGGGTTTTCACGCGTACGAAGTCGCGGTCACAGTAAAAGGATATAATGCCCGTCTGGTGGGAAGTAGATGGCGTTCCACGATCCTGTTCCAAATTCAAACAGCGGGTCGCATTTCGCGTTGAACAGCGTCGCCTTGGCCGGCGCGTGGCCGTACACCGCCACCCATTCGTTCCAGTTGCCGGGGTTCCACGAGATCGCGTGGATTGGACCTTCCTTACCTGGAAATACAGTTCAAAATCAAATGCCTATACTGCGTCTATTTGGTGGGGATTTAACCAAGTGCAATGGAACCAAGTGTAGCAAAGATCGAGTGGATTAGACGGTTTGGTCCTTGCTTAGAAATACATATCAAAATCAAATGCCCATTCTGCACTCAGTTCCCGGGGTTGCAAGAGATTGCGTGGAATGGACCTTCTTTGATGGAAATACAGACAAAATGCATTCAGATGTACTTAACGCGACCTGTAGATATTTTCTTAGCATAGAACAGATTTGATTTTTCTGATTATTTATGAAGACATAAAATCTTAACGAAATTTGTTTCTACTTACTAAAACTCATATTTCCCGAGTTTCCTTTTACATCGCCATGTGACAACGACTGCTTTCCATAGTAAGATCCGCCAGTCTTGTCCACCTGAAAATACATTGATCATAATTATGATTGCTATGAATCATTTAATAATATTGACATTTATGTGTAACTTGAGAAAAAAAATGTTCCTTACATCAGTCTGGGTCATAACAAAGATGTTGGTGCCTCGTCTATTCCAGTGGAAGGTGGCCTTGTCAGCTTGGAACGAGGAGCGGCTCACAACTGCATTGCTGGTATCAAACTCTGGATACTTGAACACGCGCCAGAACGACGGCTGGTCCTGTTTGCCTAGAGAAAAGCCAGTTATGTTGTAAAAGGCTAATTTCCTAATTAAAAAATTTTCTTAGTCCGTCAATTAATCAAAAAATAATGGACGCATTTTTTTAATATGGCTATTAAACAAGTAATTACGAAGTTATGATGCGTTGAAGTTCCGCGTGACGTCACAAAGTGGTTACTCCATGACGTCACGAACCTTTAGTTCTGAAACTTTGGCGCCCTTTATCCCTTTCAATTTTCATTAGGTGAAAAATGTGTCGAGTATTTTTTGATAAGTTAACTGACAGACTAATTCAAACTCTTGCTTTTTTACCCAGCAAATATTTGAAGTAAATATGATTTAGACTAATTCTGCACAAAGAGAATACATTTTTTAGACAAATTAAGGCAGCACTTAGATTGAGTTCAAAAACACTGTAAAGATTGTTTTAGTGTATGTCTTGTTTATTGTCTTAATAAATAAATAAAATAAAATAAAATGAATGACTTACCCAAAGAGAACACAGCAAAATAGTAAGTGGGTGCAGGGCTAGGAGAGATGCTGAAAGACTTCAGCTTTTCTGCTTTGATCTGTTTTGTGTAGCGCTCCAGTTTTCCATCCTCATAGATGTATATAATATTGTTCATTTGAAGGGCAAAGAGTTTCTCATCCGATGACCATTGTGGTTCCCTGAATAGTATGAAAGTATAGAACGAAATACAGTTGATTTGGTATATAATTTAATTTTACGGCATACATCACTAGCTAACCTAACTTTTAGAAGTTAATGCTCTGCTTTTTATTATTTTTATTTAGCAATTTAAAAATATTGATTTGATTGTATTTTTATAATAGAAAGAAAGCTTTCAAATATCTTACCAGCCGGTCTGATTCTTTTGTTTAAATGATCCGATGTTTTCTCCAGTTGCTGATTTTACAACATGAAGGTTGCATTTGCCCTTTGGAACAAAAAAAACACCATTTACAAGTCACACATAAAAATTAACCATAACATTATTTACGTAATTATCTTTGTTTACCTCAGGGTTTTCTTTAGTCAGCAAAAACATTTCCCACACCATGAAATAGGTGTCCAGAGGGGAGAAGAACATATCTTTTACGTTGCCATCTATGGTAGCTGCCACTGACCAGTCTGCACATTTCACTATTTCTGCCCTGAAGAAAAGATACTTTTAATCGTAGGGAAATTCCATATAAGATTTGATTGGTGTTAATATAGTGTCAAATGGGTAGGATAGGTAATTTTTGCCTGTTTAATAAGTTAAAAAGTGAATTTTGTACTAACTTTTTATCAGTTCTGTATGCAAGGTATGTGCCTTTAGGGCTAAATATAATGCTTCGTATATTGAGAGTGGCCTCATCTCTGAGATTTTTCTCTGCGTATGGTTCTTTGAAATCCACCAAGAATATGTTTTTATTGGTCAAACCTGTAAAGAGATGATAAGATATACATAACCTATTCATTCAAATAATACTATGTTTATTTTGATGAAGCCTATATTACCAGCGATGCAAGGTGTAGCACTCATTGTGATAACTATTAAATTAATTGGGTATGTACTAAAACAAGATACTTTTCATTTTCAAAATAGAGGTCAACAAACAGGCAGCATGTACCAAATTTTTTGTCATACACGTCACTGTCAGTCAATTTGTCATTTGTCAATGCTGTCACTATTTTTTTTAAATGTTTTACAACCTTGGGTCAATCATTTTTAAGCCAAACTGGCTTTAAATTCTGTAAAGGTTTGGTGTAAAGCCGGGTCTCTTACGCGTGTTTTGCCCTACACATCAACAAAGACATGGAAAAATTAATATCACGATCACGAATGAAATGCAGTGCAGTTTTAGTTTAAAAATATTTTGTAAGATCCTAGTTTTGTTTAATGGTCATAAAAACACAAAAGAGAACAAAAACATTGCATCAACAACTTGGTCACGGATTGTCCGTCGGCAGAATGATGTACAATCGAACAAAAAAAAGTAATGTCATTCAACTGACTGTCAATCAAGTGTCAAATCTGTCAATTGCACAAAATGGCGATTGTCGTGTGAATGCAACAAAGAATTGATGAATTTGCAATGAAAATTCAAAGAATATTGCTGATGTTTGTTTATCTTTAACATCAATGTTTAGTAGCAGAGCCCAATTAGAAAAGCGTACTCCTGAAAATGGCACTGATCGGGAAAACTTCTTGTCTTTGTTAGTGGATGAGTATCTGAATTCCAGTTCTTACGGTATGTAAATAATGTTTATTTGTTAAATTAAACGCATAAAAATTGCAATAGCTTGTTCTTTGCTTCAATATGTGTTATTTTTATGCCCAGCTTTTAATATGTGGGACTTTAATCTATCTTTTATTCAAGGCCTAATTTTGAACTTGAACATCATTCTTTGTTTGTAAATGATCGTGTCAGTAATTAATTTATGAATGAAAAGTGGTACGTATACGTGTAATATTTGTAAAGAATCGCCTGCTTTCCATTTCAGATGCCAAATGTCAAGTACTAGCTAATTTGGCCAACTTTGCCTATGATCCAATAAACTATGGATACATCAGGGACGTGGGAGTCCTAGACATATTCCTGTATGTTCTAAAAAATGAGGCAGACAGTAAATTACTTCACTTTGCCAGTGCTGGAATATGTAATTTATGTTTAGGTGAGTAATATAGCTGAAATTCTAAATTCGTTACTTTTCTTAATATTTATTAAGATACTCAAAGCATCCTGGCTCTAAGAATTAAATAATAATGATGTAATCAGTAGAATATAATAGTATAATAAAGTATAATGATAATCATACTGTCTGTGTAATAAAGATTGTTTCCAAATCTTAATATTTTCCCATTACCTTTTCCAGATCCTGCCAATGCAGAATATATCTTGAATCATATGGGACTTCAGCCCATCATTGCTTTGTTGGAATCTGAAAATAATGAAACTGTTGCTAACTGTATAACAACTCTGATTTATCTATTCAATGAGCAGACACAGTCAGAAATAAATACATCTGATATAACTAAGAAAGTGCAGAGTCTAGCAGTATCGGATGATAAAATGTTAGCCAATTTGGCTACTATATTCTTACAGGACATCTGCCAAATCTCTGATTGATAATATAAACTGATATTTACAGAAACATTAACAATGAACAAAATGCTATCAAATAGATTTCCATACATTGTGGTGAACAATAAAAACTACCAAAAAATATGCAAAATACACACAACTACATTCAGCAGCACAGCTTTCAAAGCTGGTGACAAAATACGGATTCAAAAGACACTGACACAAAAAGATCTGGATGCTTTTTCTAACCTAACAAGTGACCATAATTACCTTCATCAAAACAATGGTAACAAACGACCCATAGTTCACGGTGCGCTGCTGAATGGGTTAGTGGCTGGACTTATAGGCACACATTTACCTGGGCCTGGTACGGTGCTGGTATCCCAAACTATGAAGTTCCCCAATAAATGTTTTGTTGGAGAAAAACTCACTATAAGTGTTGAACTTGTTGACGTGAGGAAAATCCTCAAAGTGAAGTTCTATTGCATCGTTGAGGAAGAAAAAAAGGTTGTGTTTGAAGGTGAGGCTAAACTGATGTTAGCCAAAGACTGTTAGCTTTTTGACATGTTTTATTGAATTAATAAGTTATTTCTTATTCATAAGGTTTATAACTCCAACTTTTGACTCTGCAATTTTTTCAACCAGTAGTTTATGAATAAAATAATAATTTATTAAATGTAATGATAATGTTTCAATTAGTATTTTGTCATAATGTGCCAATTAAGTAAGTGAAATTATTAAAAACAGAATCTATTAGTTATTATTACGAAGTACAATTTAGTTTTAACTATACATATTTATGATATTGATAATATAAAAATTAATAAACATTTTCATAATGTTACAAAATCGATTTCAATATAAATCTTGGAAAATCTGTCCATTATTGTACTATTAATAGTCAATAACTTTTTAAGACTGATAGTCTCTAGAACAATATTGGTTTGAATTATGATATTTGTGTCAATACAAGTATCAATTAACAGTCCATCACTTTAATTCATTAAATACCTCTAATATTTTTCAAGATTAATAATTCACATTATAAAGCACTTAATAAAACTTATCTGTTTTAATCCTTTTGTTACTTTAAACATTTTGTGGTTACATTGTGATCAACCAGCACTTATTTGATTACCCAAAAATATGTCAAAATAATTACTCCAAAATTAATAATCACCAACTATTTTCGACAAATAAAGTAATTAAAATACATGATTATGAAAAAGAAAATAGAAATAAATTTAAATACATGTTATGGGAAATTTTGTAAATATGTGTTATGAAGCATATTATTTTGCTAATGTACGTACTTGAACATAGCACCATAATGATAATATGGACAAAATTCAAATTTGTATAAAATATCTGTCTTTATTTTGTTATTTTACATAAATAATATTGTTGGTTTTATAATTTTATTGTTTCTGTTTATTATTTCTTATTGACGATTGACCTCCTTTATTAGCTTATGTATCACTTGCATTGTTATTATGGACAAGGTACCATAATGTGTCACATTTTTCTACCATTGAATGGAATTGTGAATAAAATACCTACTTAGTTTCTAATGTCACTGATTGATTTTAGATTTTTTAAATGATTGTGCTTGCGGTCTTTTTTTAAATAAATCATACGTCGTGTATAATTTCCTTGTTTACCCTTTGAACTTTTAGTAGTGCATTATTTGTTTTCATAATAAATTAGAAGTCCACAAATACAAAACGTAGCTAAGCATAGTAGACTATCAGAGTATTATGTAGAATTCAATTAAAATAAGTAAATGAATTAGATGTTAGAATATTCAAATTTTATTGAAATTCTGCTAGAATTAGATGCTTAAAATTATGTATAAATGATGAGAGATACATAAAGATTGTAATTGGATCGACCGGCTGGGCTGTGAAGTGTTTTGTGATTCATTTCTGTTACATTATTTTAAGAGAATGTCCATTTTTTTTAGTGGCTGATATTTTCTAATATCACGTCAAGTATATCGCTGGGATAATCGGCTCTATTAACAAAGTGTGCTTTATTCGTTTTTATGTAACTGTATGGTTTGTTTTATATTTTCGTAATATATTTAATTGGAAGATTTTTCGTAAGTTGACTAAAATTGAAAACAAAGTGCTTACAAAATGTACAAGGAGAATAAAAGTAAATAAGGAATACTGAGTACTTTTATTTAATTCTGATGTTGATGTCTAATAAACACAGTCTGGTAGATAACTCTTATGACTTTAAGTTCGCTTTATTGATCGATTTAGCATTAAAGACTTAATGAATATAGAAATTTAAATATTCTTACCTTATTTAAGTAAAGTGAGTAAAGCAAGATAAGTCGAACTTAATGCCATAAGTCTCCACCACTCAACATTCGGCCTTACGCTCATAGGAATATCTCAAAGCGAGGGAAGACGGCTTTCCTGGAGATGCTAAACCTCGCTATAAAACAATTATTTCACCATTTACGGAAGCATATATCACATAGAATGCATACAGACATGAAACATTCGTGCAAGTTAGGTTCGCACTTAGCCATCTTTTTTTGTCCCAGGAGCAATAGCGGCTTTTAGCACTTCAAGTTTTACCCACTAAAATCTACGGTGTACCTACCTACTTTCTGCGTTCTTTTGCTGATCCCACATATCCCTCCGGACTCCAACCACGCCGTACCATAGTTGGTACAGCGCGGGCCCAGCACAGGGCCCATAGCCTTTGCCACGTGTCCAGGCCACTTTCCCACTGGGCATTATAGGCACGTGTGCCCAGGGTTCGATCGAGGAGGCCCCCGTCTGTTCTTATAAAAGATCTTTCTCTAGATGAGAAGGGCCTCCTTTGATCCTTATGTTCCCAGGGTCCCTAGTAGGTTAAAAAGACGGCCCTGCAGGTGTCCCGCGCTATAAAAGGGGTCTACCGGGTCTACTGATTTCCTTGGCCCCCTGGTCCATTGAGATGAGCAAGTCTATCCTCCCGGCCATCTGCGCCTAAGCACGTGGGATGAGTGGCTTTATCTATCCTAAAAATTCAAAAAATGTATAAGACGATGCTTATCTCGAAATCAATGAATTTAATCAGTATTATTGTAAATAGAAATTGATCACGTATACGAAAGTGCCTAGTATTTTGGAAGCACGTTTCGCAAACGCGCTATGTCAGCATGTAGCCTCAGAAAAGTATTGTTTCAGATATTTATAAAGGACGGGTTTATTAACTCTGGGTCATTCTGTTTTGTGTAGTTGAGGGTGGTGTTTAGGAGAAGAAAGTTTTGGAACTGAATTGCTATTAGGTGAGTGTACTGACCTTTTATTATTTTTTGCGGTTTACTTATTAATATTACAGACAGATTTTTGCAGATTCGACATACTAGTGAGCAAAAATCTGTCAATAAGTAAACCGCAAAAAACAAGACTTATACGATTACAGTATCCCACTGTTGAGTAAAGGTGATTTTTCCCAAATTTTTCCGTTCACCCGGTTTGGTTTAAACCTACTTGTTTACTTGTTCTACCCTAAAGTTGAATAACTTGGTTACGTAAAACTCATTATTATCCCATTACGTACCTTTGTACTGACCCATATTACTCTATCTTTTAATCAGGAATTAAGTAGGTACCTAAGTATAAAGGTAAGGGTATTCAGAAACAGTTCTTTCCATTCATTTCCAATGGAGCACTGTTAATTGAATAGCACTCATTAGTGGGATGTGGTGACAAGTTTATTGTTGTAGTTAACACTTGCTCGACGTCGGCATGTTAACTGCTCTTACTTAATCACAACTAGTTAAATAACTGGGCTTAATGAAGTCGCAATGTCGTGTCATTGTGATTAAGAAGGCCTTCATAATAAATCGTTTGGATTTGAAGACTAACTTATTGCCCTTCATCACTAACTTTATTGCCCCTATACATGGTCTTTTCTACTAACTATCACACGTTTGCAGAGAAGGACCCTGTAATTTTCTTCCAACTGTTGCATTCCACTACTTATGTAATAATATCGCATTTAGGTAGGTAGGCGACAAATTAATTTCGTAAATTTTTTTCTTCAGGTACAATTTTCCTGTTTGTCCTGTGTGTCCTAAAAATCTTGGCCTAAAGTAAAACTGAATAATGCGAAGCTTTCAGTTCCTAGTTTTGGTCGCCGTTGCCTTGAGTTTGGTGATCGGTACGGAAGGCTTAAGAAGGAGGAAACACAAGAGAGATGAGTACGAAAGTCTAAAATCAGCAGAAGAAGATGAAGAGGTGAACGAAGATTTCGATGAGGTAAGCAAGACCTCATCAAGGTTGCAGGAAGGCGCTGTATATTGTTACATGTTTTACAAATAAATATTTTTATTTGAAAAAAAAAAAGAAAAAAAGTAATTGGGGGTGGCGGCCTATGTTCAGAAGTGAACATACTGTGTCTGAATGATGATGATGAACACTAAATATAACTTCATGAACATCGGGACTTCATGGAATAAAATTCTATCTGTGTGTAACTGATCGTCCTACCTAGTTTTCTCAAAGTATTTTCTGCGAACCGCTGGTAAAACAGCGTGTTTTTACTTCAAGATAAAAAGCAAAATAAAAAAACCTATTTATGACTAAATTACAGCTCGATCCGTGCCAATGCGGAGTCTTCATGTCGCAGCAGGTCGGCCTGAAGGAGGGTCGTAGAGGCCGGCCGAGAGGACCGCCCCAGGGCGAGCCGGTGGTCACTTATGACACGGAGGAGCCCAGCTTGCCCTGCGGCTTGGGAGGGTTCAAGAACTGCGTTACTAAATGCCTGGATGTGGTAAGTACCAAAATACTCTACTAAAGAATACATTGGGGGATCCTCACGTAAGGATCTCCTATATGTAACTTGAATTCGCCAAAGAAATATCACTTTTCAGGAATAAGTAAGACGTACTTTTTCAGGAACTAAAGGGATATGATGTTTTCGTAGCATGTAAGTCGATGGCTTAAACGTAAGCATAGAAATCGTGAAAATGTAGGTAGGTACGAGTATATTTCGACATTATTAATAATACATAATCGTTTATTTCTCACCAAAGTACAAGCATACAACTTACGAGTAGGTACAGTAAAGTACCCTAAACCTAGTCATTGTTATTTTAAGCGTATACGTCATCAATTTTGGCAGTGTTTATTTTAGTGCAGTCTTCGTGGGAGCAAATTATCAATGGCGTAATCCAAAATAGGCAAGCACGGTAGCGTGCGTAGCATTAGCTTTGTCGACAAAAAATGATTATCTCAGTCTTATTCCTTTTTTAGAATGTATCTTATCGAGTCTAGTTGATCTTTCGGACCGAAACCAAGCGTCGTTAACGAGCTATCGAATCGAAGGCGGCGTGAAGAAAGTATGCAAATTCAGTTTGTTTTAAAAAATAAATTACTGAGTAAAGTAACAGCGTAAGACATCCTGTTTGATAAGGGCAATAAAAAAGCCGGTACCTACTTAAATAATTGTCAGGAAATTTAAGGTGAATTTCTTCTTAGTAAGTAGGTAAAATAAATGAAAAAAAAAATTAGCCAAGTTTCAGTTTTTTGCATGGTAAAGTAGGCCTAATATTCTAGACTCGCCCTTATTTTCGACCTTAAAAATTTGATCAGCTCATGAACCTGTCCTTAATAATTCAATTTCAATAAGCTATTTTAATATCCAGAATTAATTCCAAATCTATTCCCACCAGATCCTGAAATACCTTCCTCGCGCTGGACCAGTCATTTGCGGCGCAGTGGAGCGCGACATTCATAGAGAGAAGGCGTTCCTTTTCATCAGGAACTGCGGGGGAGAGTGGACTCCAACTAGCTTCTCTGCAGGAAAGGAGTTCTGTTGCACTGATGGCCAGCACCATAAGTGCTGATTTTCACGCCATAAAAGAAAAAAAAAGTGACGCGGCCGATTTTAATTTGACATGAGGTTCTATTTTGAAAAAAATAATTAAAAAAGTTATCCACTAAATAGTTTGCGGTCATGTTTCATATTAATTTTAAAAATACCTAATAAGTTTGTGAAGTATCTTTGTTTAAGGTTCTTAGCAAGTAGGTACCTAGTATAATATTTAAACGAATAGTTTTAGTAAGTGTACGTGTAAGTTTTCATTTGCATTTTATAAGAATGTAGAGTAAGGTAGATCACACAGACATCACATTACCAAATATGTTTTATTTTCTTCAATCGTATGGTTTAGGTATCGTAGGAAAATCATGAATTAGTATGTAGGCATTGTAAAGTAGAATGAGTAAATAATTAATTGGTATTTAAGTTACTTTTATAGGTCAAACATTGTAAAGTAAGGTAGGAACTTTTGTATGCTTTTTTATTTAGAAATAAACGTTTACCTACTTATACCTAATTTGGTTTTTAATTCCTTTTATTCCCAAAATAAAATCAACCTACTTTTACGCACTTTTATTTGACTGTGACCTTTTTTGGCATCTTTTGCGGTCGGTGATTCTCATGTGTCGTAGCACCAAAATTATCTGACGATTAAATAGTTGATGGTAAGTACCTACATGTAGACAAATAGGTACGTCGAACGGAGAGCAGCAACAAGGAGCGCCTTATCCGTCGCACCAACCGGACAATTCGTGTCAATGGAGCTCCCATATCAAGGACTCGTCTACGGGTGGTATAGGGCTGCCCCAGTCGTGTGTTCTTGTACAGACCACTGATAATTTCTTGGGTAAACTACTGGGTACTTAGCAGGTTTGTGTCGATCACATCTTGGTAATTTTGCTGTACATAGTCTTCGTTTACGTATAGCTAACGCTTTCTTGATTCCGCTATGTTCTTAAAAGGTTCATTCAAGTATGGGCGCACATGGACCTTAAGACCCTTTGCAGTTGGTGTCTGGAAAGAATTTCAAATAGTATTAAAGGTATGGCACAACATCTTTTCTCGTTGTATGGGCGTATGAGGATTTAAGACCGGACGGTAATATAAAGCTAAACATTATTGTATCCAATGTACCTACTTGTGATAGGTGCGAATTTCCAACAAAAATGTAGAGTCAAATGTGTTGGCAACTGTACCTGCAATTATTAATTGTTATCAGCAGTGAAACTGACAATAAGAAGACGTGTGAGCTTTAGCTTCTGTAATTAAATGACTGTAATCAATTAGTTATTGATGTTTACGACTCAATAATATTAACAGCTCGTAGCACTGATGGCTGTTGGTGTAGAAAAGTTCTTGAGTGACGATCACGGACCGGATGACGTAGTGACGCAGACGTGACCAGGCGAAAGTCACGGGACGCGCCTGGATGCAGGCAGCGCAAGACTGGGTAGTTGTTTCCACAACTCTAACTTCCAAACTTTCGTCTGGTGTACTTTACCAGCATTGGCCGTCTTCTGTTTGAAATTAACAAATTAATCACATTTGAGAAAATTCATCACAAATTGCGACTCCAATCACGGTTAAGCCTAGGCGCAGACCATCGATTTTTCGTCGGCCGATAGTTTAGTCGGGCAGTTGATCAGTATGGGCATGTATCTGGGAGTGCGCACATTACGCCGATTTGAATTGGCCTACTTATTCTTCATACAATTCAAAATCGGGCACAACTAAAAATCGGTGGTCTGCGCCTAGTTTTAATCTTTACCCTGTTCTGTATCCTTCAAATCCCGTCAGTCTGGCAACCCTAGGGTGTCTAGGCGCGGGCGCGGGCGGCGGTGACCCCGTTCGCGCAGGGTGAACAACCCCGACACGTGCCGCTTTCTAAAAGAAACGAGTCGCCTGCGCATCCTTGCGTGGACAGCTGGATTCTCTATGGCACCTGACGAGAGATTAAAATTAGAGGTTTATTCTGGTCTAAGATGGGCTCGTCTGCTCGGGCTTGATTGATAGGTTAATTTTGTCCTTTGGATTTTTAATTTGGCTCCAAGTCAAGTCCAATAAAGCTCATAAAACTTAAACATTCTTAGTACTAAAATTCTGTAGTTAACAATTCAAAGAAACATTATTCTGCACAAAAAAATCTGAACAAAAAATAATTATCCTAATTAAAATTGTTAATGCATCGCGCACATCTCAGTTCTGACTTCAACAGCCAATATAAATTCCTCGATCCCATTTGATTATCATGCAAAGTGCGAAATTACTTTATTATAACTGCTCTCCTAAATAATTAATATTGTAGAACAATGGCGTTCTCGTGCGAAATGTTTGTTTGCGTCAATAATGTACGCCAGGTGTTTATTGTAAGCCTTCGCATTAACATAAACACCGCTAGGAATGGCAGGGATGGACTGCCGTGCCATTTTGATCGAAAGCCTCTGAGGTTTTAGGGTAGAGTTTGAGATTTGAGGCAAGAACTATGTATTTTCATTGAAAAGGTTTGTTACCCATTCTCAGTAATTGAGCTAGTTAAGAACTGATTGACCATGGGACTGATATCTTGATACCCCATTCTTCTTCTTTTTTCTTATGGCGTCTCTGGGATTTACGGCCACAGAGTGACCTCCCCAATGTATTTTGTGTTTATTGGTGAAATTCGTATGCAACAATTTTTATCGCCCCAATTTGATTTGGAATTTTAGATACGGTAGGTAACGGTGATATAGAAGAAAATACTGTTTTAGTTTTTAATCATTACCCAATAGCACAGAAAGATGAACTTTACATAAACGCATTTTCTTTCACGTCTGTCTTTAGGGCCCTTCAAATTTTGTAGAGCCCTTGATACTCCAGTCTCTGATACGGCCCTGAGTTTGGTAGGATTCGATCTGCGAACAGCTACCTACATTGCGAGTGCACCTTAAGCGTGGGAACTTCTATTTATAGAGACTCCAACGGTGTACTTTGACTCACTCAAAATGTTAGCGAAATAATAGATAATATTGATTCAAAATCACGTGTATAGTTCGTTTTTGCTTCCATTCATTAGTTCAGTTCGTTGCAAAAAGTATGTTGTGTTAATAATAAAAAAATCAATAACCAATCACAATATCTTTGTGATTCTAAGATTTTACTTTTTATTTTAATGAACTTGTTAGAGTTGTTAGCGCTTCTATTTGATTGCAATTTCAGATAGTGTACATTGGTACAATACATGAATATGAGATTATTCAATGTAATCAAAAATGTGCATTAAAATCTATTCAAAGTTATTTCTTATTTGTTGCTGAAAAAGAAAATTTTCAAAAGAAAACTTCACCTATGTAGTCAATACGTTTGAGACTAGATGGCGGTAGCGACTCTATCTGTAGAGCAAAACATACAACGTCCAGTAACTCTATCCGACAAGATTAGGTCATTTATATTATGCTACTTACTAGACACCTTGATTTGTTATGATTATTAAGACCAAACCAGACAGACATAGCATCGATATTTACTTAAAGAAGTCCGATTTTCAAATTGCAGATTTTAAGTTTTTTACCAGTTGGCAATAAGACTATATAAATTGTATTCACATTAGTAACTGGGTCATAGGATTGTTAAAGGTAGGAAAATGTGCCTAGCTTCAAAAATATGAGACACAATCTAATGTATGTAGGTAGCTGCGTAGTGCGTATACCACATGCAAATTGGTACATCTATTGAAATACAATAATGCAAATGGAGACGAATGCAGGGAAGCTCTTCACATGGCTACTTATTATAGGACCCCTTTGAGGAGGAATGTGAGGGGTGAGTGCACGTGTCCGGTACGCACTGAGGTTCCTTTGTTCTCCCTGAGGGACGTGATTCATACTGCCTTTTGCGTTTCAGAGCTGGACCTCAGCCCAAGAATAGGTGTTGCGTCACCGGCCCAGGTGCAGCATTCTCGAAATTTGGTTTGAGTTATCTACTTACCCTTGCTAGGTTAAATGGAACGATTAAGATTATGCTGAATACTGCCAATGCACAAAATGTTACCTATGTATCGAAGGCAATAAATACATCTTTTTTAGGTAGGTAGGATAATAAGTGCGACAGATTTGATTTAATTGAACAGATAATTTGAATTGCATCCTGAAAGACCATAAATACAGTGTGAGTCACGTTAAAGTGTACATATGAAAACAGATGAAACTAGACCTATTTTTATCGACAAAAAAGAGGTCAAAAAATTTTTGAGATTTTTTTTTATTTTTTATATAATTTTTTTTCTTCCAATTACTTATTGTAAAGAAAACGTAATAACTTTTAAACTAAGCGGTATATCCTAATAAAATAAAAACAGTAATAATGCTAAATAACAGGCGATACTAAAAAAATACATAAAATACACAAACAAGGCCAGAAAATAATAAAAAATGATACTTTTTGAAAAAAATCTGCTTTTAAATTCGTGTTTTTTTGGTTATTTTATAAATTTCTCCAAAAAATGCCCCTATAACAGGTGGTTTTTATTACTTTGTATTATTCTCCATCGTATTATCTTTGTAAAACCAAAAATTGCATGTCTCTATCCCTATCACAACATTTGCTATGATCGTTTGAACAAAGGCCTACCACAACATTATTCTCCGCTACAGGTAGAGACAATTTTAATTTTAACTAAAATGCTTATTTTACTTCGAAATCTTTTGTTTTTATTTATAATCTAACNCGCCACCCAGTAGCTGCTATGAAATCGCTTTACATAAACAGGCCTATTTCTGAGGAATAGGGGGACATCGCAAATGGGTTTAAGCTATACAGTGTGAGTCACGTTAAAGTGTACATATGAAAATAGATGAAACTAGACCTGTTTTTGTCGACAAAAAAGAGGTCAAAAAATTTTTTTTTTTTTTTTTTTATAGAATTTTTTTTCATCCAATTACTTATTGTAAAGAAAACGTAATAACTTTTAAACTAAGCGGTATATCCTGATGAAATAAAAACAGTAATAATGGTAAATAACAGGCGATACTAAAAAAAACATAAAATACACAATAAATGCCAATAAATAATAAAAAATGATACTTTTTGAAAAAAATCTGCTTTTAAATTCGTGTTTTTTTGATTATTTGATAAATTTCTCCAAAAAATTCCCATATACAGGTGGTTTTTATTACTTTATATTATTTCTATCGTATTATCTTCGTAAAACTAAAAATCGCATGTCTCTATCCCTATCACAACATTTGCTATGATCGTTTGAACAAAGGCCTGCCACAACATTATTCTCCGCTACAGGTAGAGACAATTTTAATTTTAACTAAAATGCTTATTTTACTTCGAAATCTTTTGTTTTTATACAGTGTGAGTCACGTTAAAGTGTACATATGAAAACAGATGAAACTAGACCTATTTTTATCGACAAAAAAGAGGTCAAAAAATTTTTGAGATTTTTTTTTATTTTTTATATAATTTTTTTT